TGGGGCTACCATAGTGGTTGAATTTCACGGATTTTCAACCAAAAAAATATTTATGAGTATCATTGAAGCCCCATTCCTACTTCGTCTTTGACATGTGGAAATGCCAGAAGGTGCTCAAAGGTATTTTTGTCAAGTATTTTGCGTGATTTTTGTGGTGAACTTTGAAATTGTAATATACTTAATTCCGTAGTCTGGTAGTGAGACGCTACGACAGACCAACATCCTAGCCCAGGTGGACTCCCTTTCCTCCCTACGTAACGGAGGGAGTCCTGGGTAAAAAGTGCTCAAAACTGAACGAAAACATTTCTGACCAATAATTTCAATATTTTTACCTTGTTGGAGAAGCTAATTTTTACGTCGTAGTATTCTATGTGTCCTTATCTGTTGGGCCGCTGGGTTCAGGAATTCCATATGCGATGCTGACTGACGTCAATCAGGAAAATAAACTCGAAAGCAACGTTAAACTTGTACGTGTTTTTAGTCTCTTTTCATCAGTTTCTCACCGCCGAGTCTATTCTAGTCGTACATCATGTACGTCTGTGCAGCGTGTAGTCTGGTTCCCTAGACCGGACAATTATTCTCGACGCTCATATCACATCTGGTCCGGGGGACAGACTATGCCGCATGAATATGCAGTGCGCACGCGCGATTTGCTTAGTAACCACCCTCATACGCACGCGCACTTACTTGAAGGCGCGGTCGATAATCCAATGACCGAGTGTGTTTTCGCGCCAGTTACCAGAAAAATGTTTCGGCTTTGGTCATTGGTTGAGCATTTTCGTGACATCGGTTGGCTGGAGTGACGTCATGGTTCCAACCAAAACTAAACAAATGAGGGCACTAGCGTGCGTGCGCGATTTCGGATCGTACGCACGTACAGTTGTACATATTATGTACATTGTACATGACATACGACTCTGGGAATAAACTGATGAAAAGAGACTACACACATGACAAGTTTAACGTTGCTTTGGAGTTTATTTTCCTGATTAACGTCAGTCAGCATCGCATATGGAATTCTAGCCCCATAAATGTGGCCTATTTACTGGACTGCCTCCGTAAACATAGGCCACACATCCACATGTACAAAAACGTGTCGCACTTTGCCAAATTTTGATTTTCGCATTTAGGCTTAGTTTGTAGGGTTTTTTTTGCTTTAGAAGCATACTCACCCTCTTTATAGGCAAATCAGAAAGTGCTGCCTTTTTCAGATGTATATTTTTCGTGAAATTTCCAGATTCATTTTCACACGTTTGCGTATCAAAATTTCAACATGAAATTTCATAAAATTAGACATCTGAAAAAGGCAGCACTTTCTGATTAGCATATAAAGAGGGTGAGTATGCTTCTAAAGCAAAAAACCCCTACCAACTAAGCCTAAATGTGAAAATCAAAATTTGGCAAAGTGCGACACGTTTTTGTACATTGTGGATGTGTGGCTTATGTTTACGGAGGCAGTCCAGTAAATAGGCCACATTTATGGGGCTAATGTAGCTCTACTGAGTGGAGCGTTGAATTACGGGTGCCCCTACATACAAACGCTCCACCGATTTGCCATATTTTGGTGACACCGTCACAGTAGCATAGTCACAAACCCACGCGAGGACAAAAAGACCCCCCAAAAACGGTAAAGAGAATACAAATGAGAGAGACAGTTATCCTGGATTGATCTATACATTCTTGACATTCCATGAGACCCCTTATATTGTTCCCAAACAGCGAAAATTTTGACAAAAAACAGCAAAATAGTCTGAAAACTTACAGCTCAATGTGTTTGCAGGGAGGCTCAGTTCTTGAATCGACTTGTCGAATGAGGGCGTCTGACGTGACGTCACCGTCGTTGCTCGATCGCGAAGAAAAACAAGTTGCGCTTTATCAACGACTGTTTTGTGTAATGATACGTGCTCCGATCCGCGCCGCGCCGTACAACAGTATGGGCTTTGAACACACCCTCGGAGCACGTATCAATACACAAAACAGTCGTTGATAAAGCGCGACTTGTTTTTCTTCTTTTTGTAAGTTTTCAGACTATTTTGCTGTTTTTTGTCAACATTTTTGCTGTTTGGGAACAATATAAGGGGTCTCATGGAATGTCAAGAATGTATAGATCAATCCAGGATAACTGTTTCTCTCATTTGTATTCTCTTTACCGTTTTTTTGGGGGTCTTTTTGTCCTCGCGTGGGTTTGTGACTATGCTACTGTGACAGTGTCACCAAAGTATGGCAAATCGTAGCCCCATAAATGTGGCCTATTTACTGGACTGCCTCCGTAAACATAGGCCACACATCCACATGTACAAAAATCGTGTCGACTTTGCCAAATTTTGATTTTCACATTTAGGCTTAGTTTGTAGGATTTTTTTGCTTTAGAAGCATACTCACCCTCTTTATAGGCTAGTCAGAAAGTGCTGCCTTTTTCAGATGTCTAATTTTTGTGAAATTTCATGTTGAAATTTTGATACGCAAACGTGTAAAAATGAATCTGGAAATTTCACGAAAAATATACATCTGAAAAAGGCAGTACTTTCTGATTAGCCTATAAAGAGGGTGAGTATGCTTCTAAAGCAAAAAAAACCTACAAACTAAGCCCAAATGTGAAAATCAAAATTTGGCAAAGTCAACACGATTTTTGTACATGTGGATGTGTGGCCTATGTTTACGGAGGCAGTCCAGTAAATAGGCCACATTTATGGGGCTAGGCAAATCGGTGGAGCGTTTGTATGGAGGGGCACCCGTAATTCAACGCTCCACTCAGTAGAGCTAGGGCTAATGGAATTCCTGAACCCAGCGGCCTAATACTAATAGATAAGGATACATAGAGTATGTAGGCGTGAAATAAGCTTCTATAACGAGGTAAAACATAAGGTACAACTATAGAATGCAGGGCCACTTTACTCTACATCCGCGCCTCCGTACGGCTGCGTGGAGGCGTGGAACCGCAGTCGACCTACCTCCGAAAATCGATCGTGGAGTCGTGGAGCCGCAGAGAATTGCGCCCTCTATCGGTGCGCGTCTCTGCGACTCCGCAACTCCGCGCCTCCGCCACTCCGATCCAGTGTATAGTGCCCCGCGTCACGCAGAGAATTGCGCCCTCTATCGGTGCGCGTCTATGCGACTTTGCGACTCCGCGCCTCCGCCACTCCAGTATATAGTGCCCCGCGTCTCCGCGATTCTGCGACTCCAAGACTCCGCGCCTCCGCCACTCCAGACAGTGCCCCGTCGCCCTCCTCCCTCCCTAATTTGCGCGCCCATTTAAAGCGATTCTGCGACTCCAAGACTCCGCGCCTCCGCCACTCCAGACAGTGGGCCCTGTCGCACTCCTCCCTTCCTAATTTGCGCGCCCATTTAAAATGGATATGGATGCTTCGTTCTCAAAAAAATTCCGCCGAGAATTGCGCCCTCTATCGGCGCGAGTCTCTGCGACTCCGCGACTCCGTGCCTCCGCCACTGCGGCCACTCCAGTGCCCCGCGTCTCCGCGATTCTGCGACTCCAAGACTCCGCGCCTCCGCCACTCCAGACAGTGCCCCCAACACATTTACAAGCACGCCCTCCCTTCCGATCCTTCATGAGAAGCTTAGAAGACAAGTGCAGTGCATTCCTTCGCTGTACTTAGCACTTTTTGCAGGTTTGCATTACTCCTATTCCATCCACGCCTCCAGGCAAAATAAAAAACCTTGCTTCGGCGTGGCCCTGCATTCTATAGTTGCTCCCAAAACTCTGGTAAAAATGTTGGGTGGTTTCATGTAGAGAATTCTTGCCCTGGACGTTAGCTCTACTGAGTGGAGCGTTGCATTACGGGTACCCCTCCATACTAGCCCCACTAGTGTGGCCGTCGGTATGCTGCGCTGAACCTCTTGGCCACACACCGTGGTACCGCGCGCTACTGAGGACGAAGTTTCATAAAATCTGCGGTCCGTTTCTTACATTCTCAGTTTCTGACTTTCTTATGGTTGTATTCTATGATGTTTCACCTATCACTTCTGGGATGCTTAGGTCTAATGATGTTCCATTTTCCGAGATATTCTTCAATCTTTCTGGAGCCCATATGCACTCGTGAAACGTCTGGTGATGGCAGCCATTTTGAATGGGACAAGAGATGACCACAAGCTGTGACGTCGCGTTTATGCAAATTGCTTGTCGAGCGCGCGAGGGCGCGAGTTGCAAATGCGACGGCTGTTTCCTGTGCCGTAGATCCTGAATAGAGATCGGTGCACGTGGCCCCCTGACGATAAATGCATGGTACAGGAAACAGCCGTCGCACATTTGCAACTCGCGCCCTCGCGCGCTCGACAAGCAATTTGCATAAACGCAACGTCACAGTTTGAGGTCATCTCTTGTCCCATTCAAAATGGCTGCCATCACCAGACGTTTCACGAGTGCATATGGGCTCCAGAAAGATTGAAGAATATCTCGGAAAATGGAACATCATTAGACCTAAGCATCCCAGAAGTGATAGGTGAAACATCATAGAATACAACCATAAGAAAGTCAGAAACTGAGAATGTAAGAAACGGACCGCAGATTTTATGAAACTTCGTCCTCAGTAGCGCGCGGTACCACGGTGTGTGGCCAGAGGTTCAGCGCAGCATACCGACGGCCACACTAGTGGGGCTACCCTCCATACCAACGCTCCACCGATTCGCCATACTTTGGTAGCACCATCACAGTAGCATAGTCACAAACCCACGCGAGGACAAAAAGACCCCAAAAAACCGGTAAAGAGATTACAAATGAGAGTGACATCCTGGATTGATCTATACATTCTTGACATTCCATGAGACCCCTTATATTGTTCCCAAACAGGGAACATTTTGGAAAAAAACAGCAAAATAGTCTGAAAACTTACAGTTCAATGTCCTCGCGTGGGTTTGTGACTATGCTACTGTGACGGTGCCACCAAAGTATGGCGAATCGGTGGAGCGTTGGTATGGAGGGGTACCGGTAATTCAACGCTCCACTCAGTAGAGCTAAGTGGGACTAGGCCTAATGTTATACTCACACTGGTTCCTGCGGCTGAGCTCTTCCCCTTTCCGTACCCACTAACGTTAGCTGCTACACAAAGTGTCACTGGAAGTGGAAAACAAATTTTCTTCAAGTTTGACACTATACATAAATTAATAAAGTCCTACACAACTCCCCCGATTCAGAGTGAGAATACGAGTACGTACATATACAAGGGTGTAACAATTTTGTTTTCTTTGTATTTTGGACAGTATAATGTTTACGCGTGGTACACAAGACTGCGCATGTGTACAAAACATCTTTAAGAAAAATGCCCTAATAGTAAAAAGTAAAACCTAGTCCTGGAACCTAAGTAAAACGTAATCACATCTTCTAATATCAATGTTACGTAAATTCTTTAATTTACAAATAATCAATCTTATTAGTCGTTATCCTTTATGGCGCATACATTTTCCGAGTTGAATTTCCATGGATCTACATTTTGCGACGCACCTTTTTAGACTGGTTCACTGGTGGTTCCCTTGGATAGTGCTCATAGTGCTAGTCTAGTTGAAGACCCAGCCTCGACTCCATGGGCGCGTGCGCGTTCCTTCACTCGCGCAAGGCATGATGGGAAACAACATGGCGCAGCAAGATCTCGAATTTTTTTAAACTTTGTGGTATGAAAGGACTTAGGGAGCAAGTAACCAAAATAGACTGCCATGGTTACGGGCCATTATGTGTTTTGGCCATTTTTCGGCAATTTTGAGGCTGCAAAAATTCTTTTTCGCGTTATTTTCAAAGGTCATCCAGCCAAACTGCAAAGTAATGTCACAAAAGTAACTATATCACGACAAAGTATCATCCTTACCCTTACAAGAAAAAAAATAGAAACACTTCTGAAAAATCTCCTTTATACTATTTTTAGACCCTATAATACAGCATGTTTTACCCCATTTTTATCCCTCCAAAATGGCACTTGCCAGGGCACTCAGAATAATTTCCCTTCGCCTATGGTTAGTTCAGACATTGGTCTTTTCATAAATCTGGTGAGAAAATTTTGGGTTATTGTATAGCCTTTGTGCAGTAGCGCTTCAAAAATGGTAAATTTCACAAAAACCTTAAAATGTGTATTTTCAGTGTTTTCCTTTGTTTTGAGTAATAACTTGTATAATTGGTATTGTTCATGAATCTAGCACATTTTTACAAACAGAATTAGACTGTGTATCATTTCTAGACCATTGGATGAATAGTAGGTCGTGTACTTCCCCCCCCCACACCTGGCTATGCCCCGCCCACTCCCCCTGTGCCACCGAATTTTGAACTTGTATGTTGCATAACGAAACCTAAATATGCAAGTGAACACTTTAGAAATAACATAGAGTTCCTTTTCACAGCATCCCCTTCCCCCACCCCTGGGGCATTGCTTGGGGTTGAGGGTGGGGTGTGACCACCCACCAATAACTTGGCATTGTCAGTACAATCATTGTCACATGGGCAAAACTCATGTGTTTGCAAGCCGCAATGAATAATGGCCATATCAATTGTTCTCTGATTGAACTGCACCATCATTCCAATGATGTCCAGTCCTCCCCCTCCTAGCTAGGCCCCCCCCCCCCCCTTCCCTTGCCACCAAATTCAGATTTTGATTTCTGCTTGTATTTGCCTAAATTAATATTGTAAATAGATGTCAATTTGCAAGTGAAGCTTTCATAATCTTCACCAACAGGCGTACCCGTCTCACAGCCCACCCCCTGCCATCCCTCTTCCTACTCCAGTGCTCATTATGAGCAACTACCCCTCCCCTCCCAAAGAATTGTACAGAATATGTATTTTTGTCAAGGTTACATATTGCCTTGCGGAAAGTCCACATATTTACATACACTATGTAGGTTTCGCTATTTTTTTGTCAACGTGGGTGTTAATGTCAAAAATGTTTGTCAGCGGGCGTTGTAGCGCGCGCGCCTGTCGCACGCGCGCCTTTGCGCGTGTGCGCTGCGCTTACAAAAATAATTGTTCCATTTCATATTATATAACTGACATACAGATCCTAGTCATTTGATTGGTGGAACTCACATCACGTGGCATTCGTTATTGCTCCCATTCATGCCACGGCTCAAAAAGTACTATCCGCCCATGGGGAATGGGAAATACTATTCAACAGTTAGGATCATGACGCGGTATTTGTGTGCAAATGCATGCTGGTGTGCGCGTTCAGCGTTGCGCGTAGCGCGTATTGTTCCAAAGAGCCAGCGCTACAGCGTTGGGTTCAAACATTTTCGTGAAGGGGTGGTTTGGAAGAGACAAATACACTTTCCTCCAGGTTTGTATTGAAATAAAAGTTCAAATATATCAAATGACAAGGATCTATATGTCAGTTAAATAAAACAAATATTGAGTGGCTTTAAATTGTGAAATGGGAGGAATATTATCGCTCGGTAAAATCTGGACTTTTCCATTTCACTCGGCTTCGCCTCGTGAAATGGAAAAGTCCAGATTTTACCTTGCGATAATATTCCTCCCATTCCACGCTGAGCCACTCAATATTTGTATATTAGCTTCTTCATTGATTTTTACATGTTTGTAAAATAAACATCGTTCATATAACTATAAGTGTGCTACAAATGCCAACAAATTCGTAAGTAAATTAAAATACTCTTTATTGATTCATTCATTTTCGGGCTGCATGGATGTTCATGACCAAGATATGATGTATATTATAGCTTATTGGAGCCTATCGTAATGTTCGTATTGTTTTACATATAACTTATCGTAATGTTTGTATTGTTTTTTGCATGTTTATTGTTACAGATTAAACTAGCCCAGTGGACTCCTCCGTTGTGTACAGTCGCAATGCAATGTAGACGACGTCCAACCTGGGCTAAGATTAAACGAAGTTATCACCAGTCGTGTGATGTCGGTGACCAAATTATTTGTAGCACAGCCGCCGCCGTCGGTATCTTCTACAGTGGGAGTGGTTTGGAATATCTGGAAAGCGCAGGGGGGGTGTAATATGGATACATGTACATGGTACATGTATATGGTACATGTACATAATGCTGAATTTTTTTTAACATAATTGCATTTACTTTATTATTTTCAATACAGAGAAGTGATATGGCGATTACGAGAGCAAATAACTCATATTGTTATATTGAAATACATGTACTTTAAAACAACTATCACTCTAGTGAAAACTCAAAATGGCCTCTATATTGATTGATTGATTGAATTGAATGTGTAAATATGGTCAGATCAAGCACATATAAAGTCGAATATAGTACCGTTATGGGTGCTGCTATGCCCTCCAAAATTGTAATTTCGTAATCAGCATGACATTTTGAGTCTCTTTCAAACTGTCATCAGCATTCAACATGGCCACACTTCTGTGGTGCATCCATTGTTACATGGCAAGCAATCTAAATGTATTGGTGCTTATAAATTACAGGGTTTTTTGCATACAAGCAGGGAATGTTTTGTTAATGTGTTAATTAAAAAAACAAACCAACTTCCCCACCGAACCACAAGTGCTTACATATGTTATCCCTTTCTGGCGGGTATTTGGGTTTGTTCTGAAAGGGAGGGGTACAGCACACTGTGATCCCATGTTGATTTGCATATACTTTGACCGATTTTCCTACAACCGATTTGGCAGGAAAATATTGGTTGACCATTAATTACTCTATAATATGACATTCTTGGTTCTTTTGCTGTTACCACTAGAGGTGTTTTCTATATATTTTTCCAAACTCTTGTCTAGATAACATTTTGGGCATAATTTCTGTATTTATGTGTAAACATTCATACCAGTCAAGCAATGCATCCATTGTCACTGCCATAGGGACTTATAATTACTGATTTTATTCCAAAAATGTGTGGGTTTTCAACCCGAATTGGCAAAACTAAAGTAAATATACACAATTGTGGTGATGTTATTTAATGCTCTGCAATTGATTCATGTAATAACTATAAGAAACGTATAAATCAAAACAAACAAAATGGTACAGATTGAGAGGTGAAAATTACATGCGCTTCTCGCACCAATGGCGGCCACGTTACGTACTGAGCATGTATTGTTGTTAATTATATAGCCATGAATTTCAGTCATAGGATAATACTTCCGTGATAGGCTTTGAAAATGGAAGCATTTTTGACTTTATAAGTTTATGAGCACCGATGTCTTTACAACGGTTGCCATGGTAATAATAAGCACACTACCGAAGTGTATTCGGTGCCACAACACTTCATGTTGATCAGGCAAATACAAATTTGGAGGACACTTCCACTAAAAAAATACTTCAGACCCTAACTACATGTATATAGCCAAGTCAAGTCAGAGTGAAATTCATGCAATCAAATTGATGCTGTGTTCTCTCGGAGCTAGCTGTCACTGGAGTGATCGTTGTTTTAAAGTACATGTATTTCAATATAAACAAATAAGAGTTAGTTGCTCTCTAAATCGACAGCTCTTTTCCGTTTTGAAAATAATAAAATAAACGTCATTTTGTTCACCACACCTTTTACTGTAATTCCAAAGTGGCTTGCAATATAAACAAATGTGTACAGCGTACATGCGTGTGTCCAGATCACCCTTCCCACCCCCAACCCCAAGCAATGCCCCGGGGGTGGGGGAAGGGGAGGCTGTGAAAAGGAACTCTGTTATTTCTAAAGTGTTCACTTGCATATTATTAGTTTACATTTGTTTCGTTATGCAACATACACGTTCTAAATTCGGTGGCACAAGGGAGTGGGCGGGGCCTAGCCAGGTGTGGGGGAAGTACACTACCTACTATTCATCCAATGGTCTAAAAATAATAAACAGTCTGGTTCTGTTTGTGAAAATGTGCTAGGTTCATGAACAATACCAATTATACAAGTTTATTACCCAAAACAAAGAAAAACACTGAAAATACGCTTTTTAAGGTTTTTGTGAAATTTACCATTTTTGGAGCGCTACTGCACAAAGGATATACAATAATCCAAACTTTTCTCACCAGATATGAAAAGACCAATGTCTGAACTAACCATAGCTGAAGGGAAATTATTCTGAGTGCCCTGGCAAGTGCCATTTTTGAGGGATAAAAATGGGTAAAAAATGCAATTTTGCTAGTTGTAAAAAATGCTGTATTATAGGGCCTAACAATAATATAAAGGAGATTTTTCAGAAGTGTTTTTATTTTTTTCTTGTAAGGGTAAGGACGATACTTTGTCGTGATATAGTTACTTTTGTGACATTACTTTGCAGTTTGGCTGGATGACCTTTGA